GGGGACAGTGTCACATGGGGGGGACGGTGTCACATGGGGGGACAGAGAAGGGACAGTGTCACACTGAGGGGAACTGAGAGGGGACAGTGTCACATGGGGGGGACACAGAGGGGACAGTGTCACACAGGGAGGGCAGAGAGGGGACTGTCACACTGTGGGGGACAGAGTGGGGACAGTGTCACACCGGGGGCAGAGAGGTGGCAGTGCCACTCTGAGGGGGACACGATGGGGACAGTGTCACATGGGGGGGGACAGAGAGGGGACAGTGTCACACCATGAGAGACAGTGTCGGGGGGGGACAGTGTCACACGGGGGGGACAGAATGGGGACAGTGTCACACTGTGGGGGCAGAGAGGTGACAGTGTCACACGGGGGGGACAGAGAGGGGACAGTGTCACACCGGGGGGGGCAGAGCAGGGACAGTGTCACATGGGACACACACAGTGTCACACTGAGGGGGGACAGAGCAGGGACAGTGTCACACGGGGGGACAGGGAGGTGGCAGTGTCACACTGAGGGGGGACAGAGCAGGGACAGTGTCACACCGGGGGACAGGGAGGTGGCAGTGTCACACCAGGGGGGCAGAGCAGGGACAGTGTCACACTGAGGGGGGGCAGAGCAGGGACAGTGTCACGTGGGACACACACAGTGTCACACTGGGGGTGTCCCAGTCCCGGACCCCCCGCCCTCCCCACTCCCCCGGCTGGCCGTGCTGGGCCCCCCCAGCCCTCCTGGGGACAGGAGGTGTGTCCCCCTCTCGGGGGGCTCCGGGGGGGTCTCCAGGTGACACGTCCCATGTGTGGGGTCAGGCTGGAATGGACACAGGACGGGCTGGGGGCCTGTGGAGGTGCCACCTTGCTCCAGAGGGTGTCCCACAGCCCTCCCTGCCTGTCCCCACCCCTGACCACATCCCTGGCCCCGTTCCAGGCCCCATTACTGTCCCCATCCTTGTCCAACTCCCTGTCCCCAATACCAACCCTGTCCCCATCCCTGTCCAACTCCATCCCCAACCCCATCCCTGTCCAATTCCCCATCCTTGTCCCCATTCCTCTCCTCATCCCTGTCTCCATCCCTATCTCTGTCTCCATCTCTTTCCTCATCCCTGTCCCCAATCCCGTCCAAATCCCTGTCCACAACCCCATTCCTGTCCAGTTCCCCAACCCTGTTCCCATCCCTGTCTCCATCCCTATCTCTGTCTCCATCTCTTTCCTCATCCCTGTCCCCAATCCCGTCCAAATCCCTGTCCACAACCCCATTCCTGTCCAGTTCCCCAACCCTGTTCCCATCCCTGTCTCCATCCCTATCTCTGTCTCCATCTCTTTCCTCATCCCTGTCCCCAATCCCGTCCAAATCCCTGTCCACAACCCCATTCCTGTCCAGTTCCCCAACCCTGTTCCC